CAACAGAAACTGCTGTGAAAGTTAAGGCAACTGTTACTGTTAAAGTAACAATTGGTGGAATTTTCTCCAATATTGGTTTAACAATACCTCTTGATGAGTTGACTGAGGTATTTGGTAAATCTTTTCTTTTGGAGCTTGTTAGCTCACAGCTTGATCCCAGTAAGTAGTGCTTCTGTTTTCTCTTTCTTTTTACTATATTGTGGTAGTGTTGCATGTAACTATAAATTTTTTCATGAACTGATACATGTCTGGTAAATTTTTGGGCAGATACTGGATTAGAGAAGGAAACAATCAAGGCTTATGCTCACAAAGCAAGCCAAAAGGATGATGAGGTGAAATATGAGACTAAATTCACGGTACCGGCGGGATTTGGAGCGGTTGGAGCAGTTTTGGTAGAGAACCAACATCACAAGGAAATCTTTCTTAAGGACATAGTTCTTGAAGGATTCCCTAGTGGTCCCGTCAACGTTGAATGTGATTCATGGGCCCATTCCAAATATGATGATTCTAAGAAGAGAATTTTCTTTCCCAACAAGGTATATTTTTTTCCAACAAATTTAAAGATTTTCCATTGTCGGCAAATAAACTTACTAATCTCCATGTAGAAAATTTTCATGAATTCACGAAAGAGAAAAAGGGAAAAACAACGTAAATAAATGGTTATGTAATAATATAAATTATATATATTTTTTAAAATTTTATTTAACAATTTAAATTATTGAATTAATGAAATTTTATTTAACAATTTAAATTATTTAATTAAAATAATTCTTTTGATATAATATTGAAGTCTTGATAATCAAGTAGTCACAATTGTTTTTATGGTTAAGTAGTCACAAGTTTTAATTTTATTATTTTTATTTATTTAATAAAAAATAAATATAAAATAATATGTTATTTTTATTTAAAAAAATATATTAAAAAAATAATATAAATTATATATCCAAATCTCACGGTATTGTTATTTTGATAAGATAGAATTATCATAGCTTTGATTGTTGATTTTTAGTTTTTTTTTATCTGGTTATGTGCTTATGAACCAGTCCTACATAACTTCCGAGACCCCTGATGGACTGAAGAGGCTAAGGGAGCAAGAGTTGGAAGACATACGAGGAAATGGGGAAGGGGAGAGAAAGTCACATGAGAGGATCTATGACTACGATACATATAATGATCTTGGTTTTCCAGATATAAGCAGTAAACTAGCAAGGCCTGTGCTAGGCGGCAAAGAGCGCCCGTACCCAAGGCGTTGCAGAACCGGACGCCCGCGCACTAGAAAGGGTCAGCAAAATTCCTGATGACAAGAAAAGGAAATATTTCACAATTTATGATTCTATTTAGAATATCTGATAATTATTTTGGTTATGAATGCAGACCCGTCGTCGGAATCAAAAAGCCTCATTAACTATGTGCCGAGGGATGAGGTGTTCTCGGAGGTGAAACAATTCACATTCTCAGCAAAAACATTGAAGTCTGTGTTGAACGCGCTCCTGCCATCGATTGAGTCTGTTTTTGAAGATCCAAAACTTGGATTCCCCTACTTCAATGCCATAGACTCTCTTTTCGACGAAGGACTTACATTGCCTAAGCCGAAAAATCCAGGGTTTCTCCGCACGGTTTTGCCAAGGCTTGTGAAAACTTTTAGAGAGGGAGGAGATGAATTGTTGCTCTTTGACACTCCTGACATGATTGATAGTATGATTCCCCTTCTACCTCTTCTCGTACATATATATTTATAGAATAAATTTCTTACAAATAAGTTTCTTCTGCAGGAGATAAATTTTCCTGGTTCAAGGATGAAGAATTCTCTCGGCAAACACTGGCTGGCCTAAATCCTTTCAGCATACAGTTGGTTACGGTAAGAAAATCCGTATTGAATCTTTTTTGCATTAGTGGTAGAAGGGTGACAGAAAAGTAAGAAGATTATTGTGACTTCTTTCGAGCAGGAAT